AAATGTATTTATACATTTGCATTATAAAAATATATTGTATATATTTTGTAGTTTTTCATTTGTTTCTGCAAATTACGATATACAGTAATTTACAGTGTGATAATATGACTGATATGTACCAGAGAGTTTACATCACACACGATATTTTTGTGGCAAAGTTCAGTTTAGGCAGCGTCCTGAAAATGTCCTATTTCGACTGCACTGTTAGTAACTGTGGAATATAGATTTCTTTGTTGTCTTTTAATTTATCTAAGAACTTCAAGAGTTTAAATCAGATATAGCCTTGACTGATTTTAGTAGTATCCATATCAGAAGTTGTAAATGTTTACTGAGGGGGGGAGGGGGGGGTTGTATTTAACGGATATTTTTTTTTTCGTCACACGTTAAAATTTTACGACACCTGGCTTTTGGTGAGGACTTAATTTGTCTGAGAAACAAACTTTCGTAGAATTAAAAAGAAGAAAGGGAACAGCAGCTTTGGCACCTCGCCTTGCCTAATACGGTACCCATTCAGTGTGTCCTTGTCCTGTTTCCCATTTTTATTTATTAGTTTTGCATTCTATTGTTACTGTCTCCATCCCTGAAGTTGTTCCGTTAAACTACATGCAGAGTGTAAAATAATAGGGCCCATGTCTGCCTATGCCTTTAGTGGCTTGGTAATGTAGGACACTGTAGCAACCTATACTACTGTAACCAAACCGTTATATAAAAAATAAGTATTAAATGGACCCTGTCCACACTGAGGCCTGCTAACTCCTGGGTCTTGTATTTCAGTTGAGTTGGCAACGTCACCTGTATCACTTTGCAAATATGGTCTGCATTCAATTATTTCTGCTCAATTTCTTTTTTACACTGCGACAAAGACATCGTGTCTCCAAGGCCTACGCTGTCACAGAAAGACTTAATGTTGCTTTGTTCTAAGCATGGATAGACTGGCACAGTAGCTCATTTTCTTTTTTAATTAACTTTGATGAGTGAAAATGTGTATTATGTAGCAAGGAGACACTTGATCGACTATGTTGCCCAGTCACAGCCCTGCAGTCCTGGGAAGCTGCAAGGATGGAGTTGGCTGTTCTCAGGTTTGGTTTAGGTTTAGGTACAGTGCTTCCCGACCTTGGTCACTGCTCATTCCTCTTAGGCTCTGTGTACAGCATGAAGTCACCATTCCAGAGTGCCATCCATTATGAAGGAGGGACTTTTCTCTCATGAATAAAGAGCTAGTCCTAACCCATGTCTACAGACAATTACTCTTCTAAACAAGGCCTAAGAAGTGTAACATGGAACCATGATATGTGTAAATGTTCGAACGCATCTTTAATATTTAAATTACAGATAGTCAACCCATGTCCATTTGAAATTAAAGTTTACATATGTGAAAACTGTAAGATTTTGTTGGGGTGTATTTGTATATTTATAGGTATGTAGACACTTCTTTGCAAGAACATGTAATGCCCCAAATTGGTCTAAATAAACATCTGGTAACAATGTTCTCAGATTGCCAGAATTACTAGAAACTTCTATAGCCCTGTCAAAACCATGGGTTCTTAATCCCTTGTTTTAACATTTGTATTCCGTGCAATTTAGGTAATTTCTTAGTGCATTTCATCGTTTCTCCTTTCCTTGTCCCAATATCGAGTGTCTTTGGACGTGCTTTATATACTGTCTCATATCCATTGTATGAAAGATTTTCAGTACTGTAACCTATAGAACCACAGTGTACAATCTCATTAAAGCAAGTAATTTCTAAGCCCGAGCTTGTCCATTCAACGTCACACAATTTGTCCCACATCTACACTGATTATTAGGAACAGACATTGTTGATTGAGCACTAAGCATGGAATGAACAGCTTATCTAATTATACCAAACATAATGATCTTTATACTATTACCATTAGCATGTTAAGACAAACATCTAACCCAGAAATGTATTACAATTCCTATTTCATACTTTTTTTTCTTTCAGGTTCTGAGTCTAAGGGAGTTTTGGGATTAATGTAGCAGTAAACAACCCTACAAGACAACTAACTCCCAGCAGACAAGCTATATATTCAACAATGTGAATAAAGGACACTTACATCCATACCACAAGAGTTCCACATTACAGAATATTTATTAAAGTTGTTATGAACACAGGTACACTTTTTTTACGACAATCCAGGCCTTGTAAAGCACTGATCCCCAACATTCCAACTAATGAGTCCACAGGACTTAAGTCTCTTTCATAATATTGGTCAGCTTCTGGATCTTGGTCTTTGTGGACATGTCAACGTACTTGTCCCCAATGCTGACGATCATTCCGCCCAAAATGGAAGAATCGCTCTGTGGAAAGTACATCAACTTTAACTTGAACGCTTTTAAAGCCATCAGGATTTCCCTCCTACAAGTGTTTTCCCAAATTTTGAAGGGTCAACAGCTGTGATAATTTAATAGCTTAATTTATAATACTGTCCAGGAGCCACAATCCACGAATAAACAACCGGCATAAGCAGAAAGCTACTGTAACATGGTGCATTAAAGCCTAGGGACCATTCACTAATGGAGTCAGCTGCCAGGAAATTTCTTCCACCTTCTGCTTTCCTACCTTAGTTTCCAGCTTGAGCATCTCACCCTTCTGCAGGAACCCATTAAGTGCGGTCTTCAGCTCTGCAAGGTTGGCCTCATCCAGGGGCTGAGTTAAATACAAGGGATTGTCTGTGTCAGGGCTCTTCAAATCTGGACCTTGATTCCAAATCCAGGCCGTGTTTTCAGTTCTCCCAAGCAGTTACTTTAATAATTACTGATTCTGATTGGCCACAGAGGCTTCACACCTGACTCACAGGTACAGGAAGGCTGGAAAATCAGCAGACCTAGAGGACCGTGACTGAATAGCCCTGGTCTATATTAACATGTCCATTTGTGTCATGCTAGCATGTGTATCAGTCACAGCTAGGGGCAGGCAGAGGAGAGGGAACCTACCTGGGCAGTAGTGACTGAGCAGATGACTTCCCCACGGTGGGCACTCATCATCTTCCCGAAGGCGGCAATGACATCAGCAGTCAGGGTCAGGCGGCCATTTTCTGCTAGGACATCTTAAAGATAGACACAGGGACAGTGAGTCACCTCCAGCCGTGAAGGAAATGCCCAACCCTGTGCTCTGTGGTATCAGAACTAATGACGGCTCGCTGATGCCCCAACGAACTCACTGATGAGGTTGATGGTGATGGGCGAGAGCTTCTCCTTGGTCAGTGCGTCGTTGAAGGTCTTCTGCTTGATGTTGCGCTTCACGTGGGGGTTCATAACAATGCCGGACAATCTGGGGTCCTTGATCAAGGTCTGCGGGAAAGAGAAGCTGATCTTTATACAAACACTCACTGACCTGGCATACAAAGAACACTGAGTATGCAGTCTGCATTTCTGCTTTGGCTGCATAACTTGCTGTACAGCTGAAATGCACAGAAGCACACATGTTACGGAACAGAGGAACCGCAAACTGTCTGAACAGATGCATCTGTGTTGAGATCAGAAGGGAAAAACGTGCACTCCAGATTCTTGGTTCTATATGATGGTTTATTATAATTTTAAATATCCCAAGAGGCTAACTGCCCAGGAAAATGGCATTTAAAACATTCTCATGTCAACATGGTGGATTTGGCACGAAATTAGGCATCCTAGATCATGAGGCCCTCTCAGTGTAACAGGTGACTGGTTGCTCCTTACAGACACACGCCCCAGCTCCTGCTCCACCTGATCCAGCTTCTTCTGCTTGCTGGCAGCTGAGAACAGTGCAGTTGCATAGCGGCCCTCCACTCCGTACACTTGAATGGGGGGCTATGGGGAGAACAGGCCATTATCTAGGGCATGCACCGCTCCAGGTTACCAACACAACATTTATACAAGCTATACAAATGCATGCGGAGAATTTTCAGATCAAACTGAAATCTTAAGCTAGCATTTGAAGGTGATGAATCAAAATCTGTTCAGTGATGAAAGGACAACAACTGGTGATATTTTAAATGAGATACAGTGTAGCAAACCAAGTTAAATTACCTTGACTAACTTGGCTACAGGTCGAATGACTGTAGTGCTGAACTGGCGCACCTAGTGGAGAGATAAAGAAAAATATGTATTAGTTAATTGCTGCTTGTCCAGTAATAACGTGAAATTGGATGACAAACATATGTAACAAATTTGTTTCAACGCGATTTAACGGTATGGCATTGAACCAAAAGCTTTGACATATTTACCCCAGTACCCACAAAGTCAACCTATATTATGCACAGAAGGAGGTATAGGCATTAAGGTCATGTTGCCTTTTGTGCACCAAATCAGTTATGTCCACTACCTCATACGTGGGTACTGTTATACTAGACGCCAAATGATTTGCATGATTCTTTTATGAGCCGTTTTGGCTACAGCTGGACTGCGGAATTATGCATAATCTTGATCGAGAGATGCACTTCTGAAGCAACATTTTGGTTGTATGATTAAATAAAGTTTAGAAAAATAACCCATTTTTATTAATTGCCTTTGGAAGTTCAATGACAAATACGTTAGCGACTTGGGGGGAAATGGTCATACGGGCGCATAATATATCCGTCCCGGCAAAGAACGCAAGGCCTTTTCCATTATTTAGAAACCGTACTTAGCATACTTAAATAAATACATGAAATTATTTCAAATGTACTGAGTAATGTGTAGCCTTCACACAAAATACATAACAGTGAACACCAAAGAAACGCAATTAAAAAGGTTTAATGAATGTCATACCTGCTGGCTCAACCCTACCGCAGCCATGATCTCCAGAAACTGTGTAGGTCAAACTGAGTGCGCATGAACGGATGTAGCGTCACGAGAACGCATAGAACGATGGGTGTCGTAGTTTTTCCAAACATTAACGCCACAGGTGCATTATGGGAAATGTGTGCTTGCCGTGATGAACTCTAATAATAAAAAAATCCTACAACTCTTTTGCAGTTGCTTTGGGATGTTGTTGTTATACCGGAGTCGTTCAAATAAAGTAACTGCCGTATAATGAACTGTTAGTCAATAACCCACACGTAACTGCCGGATATTCTATTTTCGAGAATTAATCATTTCTTCTCATATGTAGAAACGGGTATCCTGTGTGTGTGTGTGTTTGTATGCACATACACACACACACACACACACACACACACACACCATAAATTCATTATATCTGTTATAGTCACAGCGTTTTTATACTTGTGATAAAAGTAGTAAGCAAGTGGGCGTGATAAACACGCCGGTCTCGTGTGCTCGGCTGAATTGAAATGCAATTTTTAAAAAGGAGGTGTTGAATTTCAACAGCAGACCTGCGTGATGTTGAACTGAGACTCACTTCATGCAGCTGGATGGAGGCTCCGAGGGGCGAGCAGAGACAAGGTCAACCTTATGTACAGCTCAAATAGCTTTTCTGTTTATTTTCATTGAATGAGCATCGCTAACAAAAAGTGGCATGGCTTTAAAGTCATACCTGTGTGGGCAGTGTAATGTACTAACGGTTAATAGTATTTTTTTTAAAGTAAATATGTCGAGAATCTGAGCATTGCTTCTAGATATTTTTACAGTTATGGATAGTTTGGAGGAGAAGTGTGTTTAAAAAACTCAAGCTCAGGAACTCAAAACTCTAAATAAGGTAGGTGATTGCCTTAAAATGCACTTATATAGCACCCGAAGAATATAGTATTAATAATAATAATAATTATTATTATTATTAATATGTGCACGTAGTTATATTGTTTGGTTGTCATTGACAAACCAAGAACAGTTGCACCTTGTACCGTATTTTACTGTAAGTACATTAATAAACTGAAATAAGTTAAATAGCTCAACTGGAATTTTCCTTTAGTGGAAGGTTTTTACTGTGCGGGGTACCGCAGAAAAGTTTAAATGTAGATGCCCCGCTTTCCCTAATAATAGTTCTTCTGGTGTACACACATACTGAGCTGTAAGGCACTCCTACAGCCTTCTCTCTCCTGATTCTGTGAGAGCTATTTTTTATCTGTACTTCGTAAAATGATCATCTGTGAAGTTTTTCTAGTTTCACTTTGTTCAGTAAAAGTGTACACAAATTTCAAAATTTTCTGTTGTTTTTTAAAAAAAAATTACATATCTGTCATATAACATTTTTTTGGCTGTTTTGTTGTAATTAATTTCCTATCATCAGCAATGCACCTAATAGTTTTTCTGTCTTTCAAGATTTAAAATATAGTTTTTTTGTTTGTTTGTTTTTTGTGCAGCATTTCCTAAAACATCTAACACGCAAGCTAATCGGACAGTGGATTGTGCAAACTGAATTCTCCCTGCTGGTGGATACTATTGTTTACATCCAGCCATTAAATCACAGGGCAGAGGACACAAACTAGCCCTGAACTGTCTCTTGCATTTTTCCGACTTAGTCGTTAAAAATCCATTTAAAATGGCATCCGCTCTGCAGGCAGCTGACATTGTCGTTGTGACTCTCTATTTCGTGCTTGTTTTGTCCATTGGCTTGTTAGCTATGCGGAAGGCAAACCGGAGTACAGTGAGGGGATACTTTCTCGCCGGACGGTCCATGAATTGGGTCGCCATAGGGGCATCTCTGTTTGTTAGTAATATTGGCAGTGAGCATTTTATTGGCTTGGCGGGATCTGGGGCAATGAGCGGGTACGCACCTGGTGCCTGGGAATTCAACGCAGTGTTCCTCCTGCAGCTCCTGGGCTGGGTCTTCATCCCGGTATACATCAGCTCGGGGTTGTATACTATGCCGGAGTATCTCTCAAAGCGTTATGGTGGCAGTCGACTCAAAGTCTATTTTGCCGCTCTCTCGTTGGTCCTTTATATCTTTACCAAGCTGTCTGTGGACCTATATGCAGGTGCCCTATTCATTCAGGAGTCTATGGGCTGGAACCTGTACTTGTCTGTGATCCTTCTGATCAGTATGACCGCCCTGCTGACAGTAACAGGGGGGCTGGTGGCTGTCATCTATACAGACACCTTTCAGGCCACCCTCATGATCATTGGAGCCGTCATCCTTAGCGTCATGAGCATGGTCAAAGTCGGAGGCATGGAGGGTTTGAAGATGAAGTATATGCAGGCCACTCCAAATGTCAGCGCCATCCTGGCGAGCACTAACTTGACGTATACCAACACGTGCGACATCCATCCCAAACCGCTGGCTTTCAAGCTGCTGCGTGGCCCTTCAGACGAGGATGTTCCCTGGCCCGGCTTCCTCCTGGGCCAGATGCCAGCATCTATCTGGTACTGGTGTACGGATCAAGTCATCGTTCAGAGGGTGCTAGCTGCCAAGAACATTGCTCACGCCAAAGGTTCGACTCTGATGGCGGGATTTTTGAAGATCTTGCCCATGTTTATCATTGTAATGCCTGGAATGATTTCTCGGGTCCTCTTCACTGATGAGATTGTTTGCATCAGCCCTGAACACTGCATGCAGGTGTGTGGCAATCAAGCCGGATGCTCCAACATCGCCTATCCTCGGCTGGTCATGAACATCATGCCCGTGGGCCTTCGAGGCCTTATGATGGCCGTGATGATCGCGGCTCTGATGAGCGATCTGGACTCTGTCTTCAATAGTGCCAGCACCATCTTTACTCTCGACATCTACAAGATGCTGAGGAGGAGCGCATCGCCTCAGGAGCTGGTGATGGTTGGCCGGCTCTTTGTGGTGTTGATGGTAGCCATTGGCATCATGTGGGTCCCTGTCATTGTCGAGATGCATGGCGGACAGATGTACCTGTACATTCAGGAGGTGTCTGACTACCTCACCCCACCGATTGCAGCCCTTTTCCTCCTGGGGGTATTTTGGAAACGCTGTAATGAGACTGGTGCCTTCTGGGGAGGGGTGACCGGCTCTGTTTTGGGGGTTATGCGTTTGGCCCTTGCATTCATCTACAAGGAACCGTGCTGTAATCAGACAGATGAGAGGCCGGCCTTCATTGCTCATTTCCACTTCATGTATGTGGCAGCCGTCCTATTCTGGATATCGGGATTGGTGGCAGTGGTAGTCAGTTTGTGCACTCCACCACCAAGCAAAGAGCAGATCCACAGCACCACTCTGTGGGGCCTACGCCATAAAGCAGAATGGTGCATTAAAAATAAGGAGAAAACTAGCAATAAACAGGTCTACTGCAACAGTGATGACAGCTGCCACAAACAGCCGGCGCAAGGAGATGTTCAGATAGAGTTGTGCCCCAACAGGTCAGACCTCAAGCTGCCTGCTCCTGCTTTTGACACCCCACTGGTCTCTAACCACCAGGTTTCTGCACCCCTGGAACAGCCAGAAAATGGTCACGTGGGAACGGTGGGCCAAGACAGCTCAGAATGTGTCAGAAGTAGTGGGGAGAGGGGGAAGTGCAAGAAGAAGACAGAATGGTTTTGTGGAAACACGGATAACATTGAGAAAGATCAACCAAAAGCAGTGGAGGAGGAGATCCTCAGTGCGATGTTGTATGAACCTTGGACAACCAAGGTGATTCTTAACATATTTCTGTTTTTAATATGTGTTGTGGGGTTCTTCCTCTTTATCTTCTTCTCATTGTAGAGAGATGCTGTCCCTGAATTAGTTGGAAACATGGCGATGTTTTATGAGGTGCCATCTGGCTTGTGTTGACTTCTGGTAGCCTTATTGACAGCATTTACCCAGAATATCCTGCATTCTGTCTGCTTCTTTAAGGATGTTTGTTGTTGTGGTGAGTTTTTCCAGATAAGGGATGCTGTTTAGATGGATTAAGTGGTATAGATAATGGATGGATGGATGGATGGGATGCTGTTTACCATTTCTTTCCTCCTTTTGCAACAGTGTCATCTAGCCCCTTGTGAGTCCTGTGTTAATCTGAGTGTCCCTGACAGAAGTTAAATCACTCCAAACGTATAGCTCCTACTGTTCCTAGTGCATGCAAGCCTGCTACACATGCAAAAAGTTTCTTGGCATGATTTTGTGTTTGAGTCCTTTTTAAGTCATCTTTGTATTTTAGCAGTTTTCTGCTTCTGTAATAAGCTTAAGATACCATAGAAAATGTATCCATCCCTCTTCTATAACTGCATATTCAATGCAGGGTTGCAGTGTTTTCACAGATTAGTGTATTTAAACTGCCTTATTCTACTCTGTATACTTATTTTTTCCATTTTGTGTGTGGTCCTTATAGACATTGCCCCCAAGATTCAGTTATTTACTTTGGATAAAATAACCATGTTGCTTGCATTCAAGCTGTAAATATATGTCTCATAACATTCTTTACCCTAAAAAATTAATACCCAAAATGTGTAATGCGAAAGGGTTCTGACGTGCTGAGGTTTTTGAGCGCAAACATTATATGTTTACACCAAATAGCTTGGCCATGAAATGTGTTTGGACTTTTAGTATTTTTAAATACATATATGCACACAGGAACATTAAAACAGTCTCATTTTAAACACATGGCCTCATCCCCAGTGTCCCTTATGAACCGCAAGCAAACTGAAGAAACTCAGAACTTTTCAGAATTTATGCAATATAAAAAAGTTTTATAAACGGAATTTATATCACATATATTTATATTTCCCATCCATGGTGTACTCCAGCCTTGTGCCCTGTGCTGCACCCCCCCCCCCAGCCCTTACCAGGATAAGTGGTTGGTTGATGGAAGGATGGGTAGAAGGAGCACAAGTTTCTCAGTGGATACACAGCAGTTGCATTTTTGGTATTTGAACCTAAAACGTGATGTGACAAAGAATAGTCTTTATTTTTATTAACTTTATTTTATCACCTTTATATTTGAGCTTTTTCTTAAATCTTTAGCAAGTGTTGTCTGCTGAACAGTGTTTGCATCTAACTTGTCTCACAGACTTGCCTTGATGAGGGGAACGGTCTCTCTGTTTTTGGTTTTTGAAATGACACGACATTTACTTTCATTTGAATCACTAAAACATGTTGGTAATGCTAACACCATGTGCCTTTTAGCTGATATTTGTTGGTAATATGTTGCTAATCCTAAATCTATGTGCCTTTTCTGAAGAATATAGTTGCTTGGTTTTGTTTAACAGAAAAGATCTTCCGCACAGTGAGCCATCCTTGGAAACCCGCTGAGGTTCTTGGTTCTCTTTGTCATAAGATTGCTGTTTATTCTGCTGAAAATATTCCTGTTTGCTGTACTTGCTTCGGTTCTGTGTGGGGAGTTTGCATATAATCCCTGTGTTACCTGGGTTTCTTCATTCACTTCAAAGACATGCAGTTAAGCAAACTGGTGTCTACATTTGAACGTGTGTATGCTTTGGGCATAACTGACATCGATACAGGATATACTCCTGCCCGAGGATTATCATCACGTCCGTACACAGACACACGTGTCTGTGGCAAGACTCATTTGTGTAAGTGCCAAAATGTGTGTAAGGTACGTTTTTAGACATCATGCCCGTGATAAAAATGACGTTTTGACCAAAATGTCCTTCAGAATTCGCCATGGTGTCGACCCAAACTCCTGAATTGTTGACAGAGATTTTCTTACCTGCCCAAAATAAACCAGAGGCCATATTTGCTCTGGGAAAACATGATATTCGAAGTCAGTCAACAGGATTTTGAAAGGATGTTTTCTTTTGTACTGGTGAGGCTCCCAGAGTGTATCCTTAAAGCTGACAGTAGGTGAGTGTAAGCTAGGAGAGCATACATCTCTTGCCCGCATCCTGATATCTGCATGGCCATCACACACTGCTGGAGGTGCGTCACATGCAGACTCAACAGCCAGTACAACCCTTATACTATCTGCCCAGCCTCCCACAGCTTCTGCCCGGGTCGTGTCAGCACCGTGGGGTCCTCCGCTTAGTGGCCATGGAGACCTTGCTCCAGAACAGGGAAGGGTTGCAAAAGCGGGTTGAAGCGCTTTGTGACTCATCCCACAACTATTTTGTTTTTCAGAAGCTTAGCACTGTTTAAGGTGGGAAGTGGACTAGAATTAAAACATTAAAGTGTCTATTGAAATCACGCCAGGGAATTTGAATTTTCTGTCCCCTGGCTTGAACGGGCGCGTAGATTTTGGTATGACAGTAGGGACATGTCCCTATCAATATGGTGCGAGTAAGATGGGGGGGGGGGGGGGTTCAGGGCTGATTTGGTCCCCACCAGTGTTGAAACCAAACCTGTGCCCTTGGGCTTGAATGTGACAATCTATGAACTATATTGCAACTGTTGATTACTTACAAACTATTTTTGAAATAAATGAATAAATCAATCAATGAATAACCTTGCTTTTCTGCTTGTGTCTTTATATCCGACAAAAAAAGGGTTGTGTCCTTCTTATTATTACTGTCTTAGAGTGATACAATGGCAGTCAGTATGCTTCTTAGTCATTCAGGTGGTTTATATACACCATATATTATGAGAACTTTAAGTCGGGAAAAACAGATGCTAGTACGCCCCTATTCATTAGTGGCAGATTTTGGTGCGACTAATCGGAAGGGGAAAACTAAGTCACTGCTCCATCACTTTTTTGCGTTCAGGCAAAGCGGCAGGTGCTCCGGATGTACGGCAGTGTTCGACATATGACTTATATTCGTGTTCTAGCGTTCCCACGGCGGCGGGAGACCTAACAGGCTGATCCGTCAGAAATGAAATTGCATAACGATGATTACAGCATATGGCAACGAGCAAAAAGGTGATTTCGCCCGCTCGGGCGCCCCACAGCCGAATGAACTGGCGAGGCAGGTGCGGGGTGATCCGTCTCGCCTTGCCGCGGATGCTGATGCTCTTTGCAGCATACGCCGACGCTGCGGGAAAGCGCGCGACCCGCACGCAGAAAGGCTGCGGGAAGGCGAGCGCGCGGAGAACGAGCTCAAACTGCGCTGCGGCAGCCGCCCTTAAGGAATATTAGGGCATTTCTGCACCTCCTGGTTTATTTGGACACAAAGTAAAATGGATTTGTATGAAAACATTGAACTCCCCTCCATTAGGATATGGTCTGTGGTTCAAAGTTACCTTTATTTTTAAAGAATGAAATATAGTAAAACAATGCAATGTAACCGTCTTTAAAGTACAATATATTGTAATCAGAATACTGTGTGCGAAGTTTGCAGGTTGACGTCATAATGCGGCGTCCCAGGACGTGCAATTAGAGAATGTGGCATCCTTAAATTACCCATAGTCAGTGGCGGATCCTGGCAATTGCCCTGGGCGGCATCTTCTGAGGGGGCGCCGACTTAGCAAACTGCAATCCCCACAAGTATGCCAGAACCACCACTGTCCTATAGTGTATGGTTATGTCTGTCATATCCAGACTGGTCTCTGCCTTGTGTCCAGACTGCCCTGTATTGAATAAGCCGTTATGAGACATGGGTGGATAAATCAACATTTCCTTCCTTTCTCATACGTTCAGTAAAATCTCATAAGAAGTTATATGAGCGTTGGGAGACTCAGGATGCAGTTTGCCCTGCTCTGTTGTCTCTGGCACTTATGAATATTGACATTCTTGACCAGGGGTCACAAGGGGCAGCGTTTTCCAACCACAGCGGACACTGAAAGCACAACAGAGGGTGATGATGGCCACTTCTAAGAGCAGATAAAGGCAATAAACAGAGCGGCCCACGGGAAACATTCCTGAGCAGCTGTTTGCTATGCAAGTTTATTTATTTACTAGCTGCATCCAAATTTTAACTCATTAATGTGGTGGCTCAGTGATCAGCACTGTTAGAGCTGAAGCTTATCACCTCCAGACTTGTCAGCTCAATGCCTTCCTGACTGTGGAGTTTGCATGTTATCCCCATGTAATAATGGTTATAGGCTTTGCAGCGGTCAGATGGTCTGGAATCTCAGGAGGGGGTGGAGGGGGGGTTTGGTTGCAGGGCTCTGGAATATTCCATAATATCACACAGCTGACAGTGGGATGATTAGGTTCAGACCAGGGTTGACACGGTGACATTTGTAAGTATGTGACTGGCCTGTTTGTGGACTCTTTATTCTTCAGAGACGTTCGGATGAATAACATGTGAACACGGATGTCACAGTCAAGCGATGTCACATCAGCGTGAGTCTAACGTGGCACACTGGCACACGTGGAAACTCCATTTGGGAAATTTGTAAACAGTTGGTATTAGACAGGGGAAGAATGAAAGGAAATGACTGAAAACTGCAACACCAGGCAAATCTGAGAGCACAGCCTGTGAAATGTGCTGAACACATGATCCCCGGCACAGAGCAGGTCAGGGAAATGCTGATCGATAACAGCAGGACTCTGGACCAAGGATGTGTGAAAGGCATTTCTCCATGAAGATGTTCCCAGCTTAAATCTGCTGCAGTCAGTGACATCATGAGGGACATTATGTTACACATTATGTCTCTTAAACCAGTTCTCCGGGACCCACAGACAGTCCATGGTTCTGCTCTACCAGGAGTTGGGCGGGAGCAAAAATGTGAACCGTCTGTGGGTCCCCGAGGACTGGGTTTGGAAAATTCTGTTTTTGCAGGATGTGGCCTTATCTGATTTGCTTCTTTTGTAATAAATACATATTTAGCCTTTCTATTCCCATCCCTGGAAACATATTAAGATTCGTTCTTTTGAATCCACTGCATAGCATTTCATAGTATTCTACATCTTTACATAATATTACCCTGGATTTACGATCTTAAACTTCTTTAATCTAATAAATCCAAGTCTTTCTTGAATCAAATATGCAATCCCAAATATATCCAGTGGATGGCACCACAAGACCAGAATACACAAGAACCAGTCTGTTCTAATGAATCCTTGTTTTCAATTTAGAACTAGAACTTCTCAAACAATATAACAATACAACAAAATCATATCCAAGCATCATAATACCGTACTCAACTTTAGCATGACCATACTCAGCATTAGCATTAAATCTAACGTAATGTGATTTGGTCTCAGATCTGTGATTATATACACTAGTGGCTCCCAAGCCTCTCGTGATTAGCGGCCTATTTGAAACAGATGGTCTCATTAGAGGGTGAAATAACATAAATGTATGAAAACATAAGAGTGGGTGAATGAAGGCTGGTAAGTCTAGACTTTAGATGGAAAAATGAGACAGCAGTTGCGGCAGGCTATCCTATGAGACCTCACTGAGAGGAGTGTGAGGAAAGCATAAGGCTCGGATGGTGAGGACAGTGCTTTTTACCAGTTTAGTCGCTCTAGCCTGCTGTCTCAAAGCCCTCAGAATCAGGAACAAAGCAATCAAGACAATTCAGCGCAAGCCTGGCCTCTCCACGAACAGACCCATTACATAAGATACAGGAATCCCCATGTGGGACGGCGATGAACAGACCTACACAACAGCTGCAAAGACCCCCTCAGGGGGGGCCGTGATAGGCTCTGACATCTGATGTGATCTTAAACAACCATCTGCATTTATACTCATGATTATTTCAGAAAAGAGGGGACTGCAGCATGTGTGCGCCCATAGAAAGCTGATTAAATATATTCAGCAAAATAAAATGCATGTGCAGCATACACGGAATGCTAAATCAGTATTTGATGTTTAACAAGCATCCCAGAATGATGGCAAGAATTGGACTGGGGCAGTGAGGCTTTAGGAGTTGTGGTTCACAGGCTGTCCTCAGTGCGGTGCCCCTGGGCCGC